ACCTTCTAAAACATATTCTGTGGTTATAACATAACATTTTGTCTTTGACTATTGAATCCAATTTGTATCTTAGCAACATGATACGGACTTTTTTGTTTAAAACAAAGTGCAGAAATCGGTCACATGCTTTGTCTTGCACAAATTGTGAGCTTTAACTCCTTTGTTAAATATTCCATTTATTTTGGTCATAATCCCAAAAGAAACAATTTGTTCAAACTGTTCAGCCAAACACAATGTCATTTGGCAAAGCAAAATGGTCCTCCATAAAGCCAGTTCTCTAGAGATAATTGTTTGTGTATAGCAGTAGTCCAACATGTAGAACAACACTCTGATTTTTAAATATGGGCATACAGAGGCCCCACTACATTCTCCTTCAGGGACCCTGAAGTTTACCTTCTGTAACCATCGATGTCTGTCAATATACAGAATCAGGTGAGCCTCCCTGGGCTTAAATAAAAACTCAAAACCAGGGTTTGCCAGAAAGCAGCATTTCTGCCCCCATGTTAATTTTAAGGCTGATCCCCAATCAGCATTTAGCACAATTAGACTGTGTTACAGTCGTTTATGTGTTGCAGTCTGATGTGTGGTGAACCATCCTAGGCAAACATCCTATTCTAACCATGTATTCGTCCTGTCCTCATTAACATCTGCTGACTTCTGCTACACTGTATGCCATCCACAGAAGACACAAATATCCCGAGATGCTTCTCAAAAGCACAATTGGTCTGTATGGCTATCATTTTGTAGGTAGACTATTAATTGCCTAACCAAAGAAATACTAAGAGGAGACATTTCAACACTGTTTTAAAAGGAGAACGCTGCTGGATAAAATGTATCTTCCCTGCATTAACAGTTTTGTTAAGATACTGAAAAAGCTGAGCATGTAGTGTGCAGGAAAAATAATTATTTCAGTGATTTCAATTAGCAGCACAGCTTATTCTGGATTCTGGAGATTTCGGATTATCATGTGGTTATTTACTACAAGAACAGTTCTCGCAGAACTGCTCGCAGACATGGAGTTGCTTGTAGCAAGCGTGGCCTTGTGCTGTAAGCCCAAATCTGCCAGAATGGGTATATTTTTCCCTCCTATACTGGGTCCTACCACTGTAAAAAGAAGTCCCAAAGCATCAAAAAAAAAAACCCAAACCACAAACCCAACCTTGCTACAGTTGTTTTTCAGCACTTCTTCTGAAACCCAGTGTGGGTAATTTGGCTGTCTGGAGGGGCATTATCCACAGAGGTGATTTCTCTTGCTGGTGCTGCCCAGAGGGGACAGGAAGGCTGGCTAATGCCCTCGCAGCTGGCCGTGCCCTCCCTTTGGCCATGGCTCTCCTGCATTCCCCTGCCCAGTAAGCGCACACGGAGCAGCTTCCAGGGGTGGAGGAAGGCAGCTGTAGCCGGCTGTACAGAACACAAAGCTCTGTTGATCCCAAATACGCACTTCGGCTAATTGCCTTTCCTGTGTGGGCTTTGGGGATGAAAGCAGCCGGTGCAGCAGCATCTGCCAGCAGCCAAGCATGGACAGGAACAGCCTTTAGGAAAGGAGAGAAAAGGAAGAGCCCAGGAGCTCCCGCCACCCCTGCTGCATCCTCCCCGCCCTCCCCACTTCCTCACATGAAATACTGGACAAAAGATTTTACTGATCTGTTACAATGTCAAAAGGCTCTTCCCCTTCCTCACTGAGGATACAGCCCTACAGTTCTGCAATGCATTTCAGTATCTTTCAAATAAATGCTTATTTTAATAAGCTGCTCACTGTACTGCTTTCCCCTAAACCCATCTTTATGTGGCAATTCTGTTTAATGAAATCCATTCAGCCTTGTTGGAAGAATTTTATGAAATTCATTAGGAAACAGTAAAAGAGGCACATGCTTGGGCATATTCTTTTTTTTCCCCTGGTTTCTCATAAAAAGTAAAAATGTGTCTTAAACTGGTGTCTCTTCCCAGACTTTTCCCTTTACTGGGATATCAACTGTTTTACAGTCCCCATACTCTCTCCATGTCTCTTAATAAAATTTGCTACTATGATAAAAAAAATTCACTAAAAAATAGAAACCGTTCTAGTTATTCAACTGTTCCATTACCCAGCCATCAAGATTTACATTTCAGTATCTTTTTGGAAGTACTGAGTGAAGATAACTCGGGTACATTTTTAGACAAGCCTATTTACTTTCACATTTTTTAAACAGTCTATCTGACATTACAAGGAACCTTTGAGAGACGGTAGCCAGAATCCTAAGGTCAGCAGCAAAAAATCGATCTTTATCTGTAAATGTGGAGACAATCGGTTCTTGTACTGAAATGACTGTTTCTATTGAATTCAGATAGCGAGGAATGGACCAAGAAAAACAATTTGGCTAAACTGAGCCATTAAAGGTTCTGCTGAGCCTTTTAAATTAATGTCATTATCAATTTAGACTCTACTATCAAAATCTGTCCACTATTTAAAACAGTGAAAATGAAAAAGGAGCTTTAGGAATTTGAAAGTCAAATGATAGAGAACAGACATCAACAGGTTTGAACTGGTTAAATAAGTAAATCTTAAATAATTGATACTACTTAGATATACAAGACAAGTATCTAGCTGTCCTTTTAATATGTTAAAAAGAATGTTATTTAAGCAAGGGAGATTAAAAATACAAGTATAAGCCAGAATCTGAAACACAATATTTTGTTGGAACTAAAATGAGAAACTGAGGGGAACATGAGAACAATACCTCTTCAGTAAAAGTTTTTAAAAACAGATTTTAAAAAGGATAAAGAAATCTAACAGTATAGTTGAAGTCTAAGGAGAGGATCTGGTTTATTTTTAATCTCATCTTTATCTCATTTTTAAAGCAGTTACACTCTTATTCCTGTATATGTGTTTCTCTATGTGTATGCATCTTTCTGTACCTCAAAAAAGTCAACTTAAACACCTGACCCAAGGCAGCAGAGGTCTTCAAGAGATTTCCTGCTACAGCTGGTCCATATGATACCCATCTCAAGAGCTGCTTGCAGGCCAGAAAGCCTTTGACTGTCCCTGAAGTAAAAGTCACAGCATCACCCCAGCCTGGGAGGTCAGCACGAGGGGTCTGGCCAAAGAGCTATGTTGACCTACACTGGCTGCAGAGCAGCATGAGGTCACCTGCCCAGCCACCAGGAGGAACAACGGTGAGGGTGAGGAAGAGCAGTTTAAGTTCTGTTAGTCACAGAACTGCTTGTTCAAGCAAGAACCCAGCAGTCTCTATCTCTGCTTACTTGTAACATATTCAAAACTATTGAAAATGAAAAAGAGGAAAAAACCTGCTCAAAAATCCCAGTGTGGAATGGGTCAGAGTAACAGTAATATTCTGCACCATGTACTTGCACAGAGCAATGGGAATTAAGAGGGTCAGCAGGGCTCCAGGGAATCTCCCTTGCTATTTAGTAAATACTTTTAATTCCCTAACAAAACATGGTAACCTTGTAATGACCTTACTGAGCCACAATCCTTGTGACTGCTTTGTAACATTATAATTTCTAAATCGCTAGTCAATTTTACGGATTTTAAAATTTGCAAAATGCAACATTTTTAAAGGTAGATGTGCATTATGTGTTGTTCTGAAGAGGAAATAATGTCTTGTGGTTTATACACAAACTGAGCATCCTGAAGTATAAACTGGAATTTAGGAGAAGAGAGACTTCTCACTTCTTTCAGGAATTTACTCTGTAATCTTTAGCAAATCACTTAATCTTCCTATGCCTCCCTTTCCCATACATAAAACAGGGTAATACTTGCTGTAAAGATAAAAGCTGTCACTTGTGTCCTCGTTTTAAAAACTAAATGTCATGAAAAAGCCTCTAGTTAAACAGTAAACACCATTTATTACAAATACTGAGGAAAAGATCAATTCTCTTTCTTAACCAGAGCAAAATTTCTCCAAATATTCAGTATGTTGTATCTGTTAAGCAGTTTGGTTCTTTATATAGGAAGTGATTATACTAAGCCCATAACTTTACCTTTTAAAAAATTAGCCTTGTAAATTTACTAGCAGTCTATAGAAAAGTTTAGTAACTTTCTTACATTACTCTGACAGAGACAACAAGAATCACAGACATAAAACTCATAACCCTATCTGAGACCACAGCTTAGATCAGTGATCAGATAACTTTCAAGAAAACTATGATGGATTCATGTTTCACTGTCATACATTCAGGATGTATGACAAATGATGACAACTACACATATGTAAATTAGGTGAGATAAAAGTCCTATGGCAGTGGCTCTATGATCTATTATGTTCTTTTGAATTTGATCCTTTTTCAGGTATTAAGATCTGCTATATCAAATCAGATTCCAACTTTGTTATTAAACAAATCAGTGGAAAAAGCTGGAAGACCTCACAAAAAGGTATGATCGCTAAGAGACAATGAGTCAGCCTGACAGTGTAGTAACAATCCATCACACATCAATGGGTTTGGATTCTGAACTGAAGCCTGAGCTGTTGAATCAGAGAGGCTGGAAAACTGGCCAAGGCCTAGCACTGCTCTTCCAAAGAGGGTGTGGGGCATGGCAAAAGGACTCCTGGCACTGTTCTCGAGGGGAATATTTTGGCTCATACAAGGACTGGCTCCAACAAGCTCTGAAGGAAGCTATGCTCGGGCCTTCTCTGCAGGGGAACATATTTTATGACACAGGACCTTTGATGGGACACTGGGTAGGAGTTTTTAGAAGACGCCTGAGATAGCTGTATACCTAACTGAAGATGAATGGGGAATGCGTGACTACATCTCTGTATATGAAAATAGCGGAAGTAGCTAACATGAGAAAGAACATGGAGAAAACTTCTGAGAAGAGTATAAATCAGAGATAGCAGAACTGGTGCATGATCCTATCTTTTTCTTAGAAAATGATAAAAAATTCTTACAAGTTAAACATATCTTAATTTTCTCAATTGACAATATTTGAGCTGATATCCTCAGAGAGCTTAAGAGATCTTTTAGCACTCCAACATTAACATCACAGAACTCAGATCACAAATTACGTTTACTTTATTTAATTTAATATTACATGCATTTTAGACACTGATTCATATTGTTTTGTTGCACAGGTAGTCATTCTCAATGTACAGTAATAACCATTGCTGCTATGGTGAAATTCAGTAGCATGCACTGCCCACACTCATGTGCAAAAGTACTGTTTTCAGTTAGAAAAATTTAAGGTCATGATTTCTAAATTAATATTGTACACACAGCTTAATTTTGGTTTTATGCAGACATTGCATAGTTGATGATTAGCTTCTCAAGAAAGGCTGAAATTGTGGTACCAGTATGGCTGAAGCAGATCAAGTGACAGTAGCAAACAAGAAGATTTGAAGAAGAGGCATAACTTTCAGGGTTGAAAGGTCAGCAAGCACAGCCTAGGATAAAAACCAAAAAGGCTTGTTAAACTTGACATTTGAATCAAATTTCTTTAAAGCAAGTCAAGAAGTCAGAAAAAGATTAAAATACTGACTACAATAATAACAATAATTAGACTCGGACTTGGCTAGAAATAAATGATACTGATTTACATTAGGGTCTTATTGCATTATTTTTCATTCTAACATTTCAAAGAAAAATATATTTATGTATATAAACCGAGTAACTTTATTTTAGCCTTTAGCCTGACTTCAAATATACATGGCATCATGGGTGAATAAGGGGTCTAGCATTTCAACTTGCTTCTAAAAATAATTGGGAATTAAGAATCCTTATCCTGTGGCTTGGCTACTAGTTGTGAAGTAAGTCCAATGTAATGACTCAAATAGTCTTCTCATGAAGGTATGTTAAAAAATAAAAAGTCATCACAAGCTCTCAAATTTGAAAAAAAAATAAAAAATACATCACCAGATTTTTGAAAAAAAATGTATTTTGACAGATTACTAGACATAAACAATAATAATCTTCATCTTACTTAATTTTCTTAATTTCCCATGACAGTACTCACAGTGAAATTTCAGGTTCAATATTGACATAAGTAATCTTGTTAAATCTTGGTAATATCAAAAAGCACAGAAGGAACTACATTAAAACATACTGACAAAAGAAAAGAGGTACAAGCCTCTATGATATTTTAAAAACAACATAACTCACAAATGCAGATGATATATGAAATTAGAAAAAAAACCCTAATTGTAAAAAATTATTTGATAGCATTGCATTTTTGTAGCAAATATACTCTTTGATTCCCTCTTACTCCGGAACAGCAGCATTATGTACTGCATATTCACAATTTCCTTAGTTTTTTATCTACGGTAAGAATTTAGGCAGAAAGATTTGCACTATGTACCACGTGCCATGTGAAGCTTAAGTTACTCTTGTTGGCAAAGGATCAGAAACTATTTCAATCTCCTCCAAACGAAACTTATCCTTACTTCAGCTGCAGCCAGTGATGTCACCTCCATCAGGTTGACTGCTCGGAAAGCAAACACAGCAGCTGCCAGGACTGAAAGAAAATGCACAATATTTAAGTTGCTGACCTGGTTAGGATTAATATTGTAGGAAAAATACCAATTCTTACTCCCTCAGAGTAATTATTTTGATTCTGAGAAATAATACACAATGGATGACTGTGTTTGAGTTTCTTTGGCCACTCTTCAAACCAGACAGGAAAAACACAACATTCTTTCAGAAAAGTCTGAGTGAAAAAGCTGGAGTTTAAGATGGATAGCTTTTAATTAAAAAGGACAAGGTGATTTACAATTACTTAATTTCTAAACAAATTATGTAAATGTATTCAAATAGCAATATTTCATTTGTGAGTATTATATAACATTAAAAAGTTAATTTAGTTTGTACTATCTTACATAATTATATCTCTCTACATAGCTGTCTTATACATGCAAACAGAACCAAAACATTTTCTCTTCTATTCACCTACTTTGTATTTAAAAACTGACCCAACTGAAGATACATCTTCTTTAGAACCCTTATATTAAACCTTGCATAAATCCTGGGACAATATTTCTTTTATTAAAAAAACTACAAAACCTTCAAGGTCTCTTAAAAGATGGGACTTCAAAAGAAGAAATCCAACAAAACCAGGGGAACTCTCAATTACTCTAAGTACTGAAGCAGTACTTGCCAGAGATGAGGAACATGAATCGTGTCATCTTGTGAACGGTGATGAACTCATTTATTGTTACCACTGAAGCTGGGAGAACATCCTATGTTCTGTTCAGAGAGTGCTCAGCAGTAAAATATGTCCCATATTTTGTTAGAGTTGGAGTGTTTATGCAATCCTAGTTTTCTAAAAGTTATACTCTGACATGTATGTAATCTGCTTTCAGCATTCAAACAGCAACTATTTTCTTTGTGTCATAAAAGACATTGAGGCTAACATATATTTGCCTTACATCCACCTGGACTCAACATGTTTTGCAAAAATAATTCTGTATTACCAGCAAGAATTTCTAAGGAGTTGTATCCCAGGATCCTGTCCCACAGAAGTAAAAGCTGATCTGTAGCTAAATAACCAGAAAATGCTCGTACCATCCATTTAAATGAAATTCGTAGCCTGCAAAGAATTGATAAACAACAGTTATTATATTTCTGTCTCCCATAATGATCAGACAGATCCTCTATAAATTGAAAATATTCGTTATTCTTCTGCATTTCTCTTCCAGGAAGAACAGCCATTTTCCTTTGCTGTTTTAATTATCAATATTGTTCTTCGCAACAGCCATCAGAAAACTATTTAGCATCTCATGTGATAAAGTACTGATATCATTAAAATATTATGACCAAACAATCACATTAGAGGGATCCTCAGCTATTACCAACCCAAATGTTTCATCCTTTCTGCTATTATGCTATTATGATAGATAGCAATTTTAACAGCAAGACTTTCAGGTTCTGTTACACTCGGTGCCATGAGTACACTACAGAATGACAGCATCTTGTTCTCACTCTCTACTTCCAGTAGCTTCTGCTGTAACTAACTCATCTTTGTGTCTTCTATATATTTCCTATTCAAGGAAATAAATCACTTAGCTCCACCAGATCTGACATGAATAACTAAAACTTAGCTGAATAATGCAGCATTTCTCATAGAGCAATTCTCTCTTTTTCACAGAATATACAGAAGAAATGCACAACTCACATACACAAAGGTTAGAAAAAGCACTCCAACTGACATATAGGTACGTAGCAAATAAAAGACAGACTAGGGACAATGTTGGCCCTCTCCAGAAGCTATCGGGAGGACTGGCTACCCTGGATTTGGAGAAGGCTGAGGTTCTTAATGACTTCTCTGCCCCAGTCTTCCCTAGTTAATGCTCTGACCACACCACCCAAGTCTTGGAAGGCAGTTGCAGGGACGGTGAGAATGAAGACCCTAGGCCCACTGTAGGAGAGGATGAGGTCCGAGGGCCTCATCCTCCGAGGATGAGGATGAGGGCCACGAGGATGATAAGAGGGCTGGAGCACCTCCCGTATGAAGACAGGCTGAGAAAGTTGGGGCTGTTCAGCCTGGAGAAGAGAAGGCTGCATGGAGACCTTATAGCAGCCTTCCAATATCTGAAGGGGGCCTACAAGGATGCTGGGGAGGGACTCTTCATTAGGGACTGTAGTGGTAGGACAAGGGGTAATGGCTTTAAACTTAAACAGGGGAACTTTAGGTTGGATATAAGGAAGAAGTTCTTCACAGGGAGGGTGGTGAGGCACTGGAATAGGTTGCCCAAGGAAGTTGTGAATGCTCCAACCCTGGAGGCGTTTAAGGCCAGGCTGGACAGAGCCTTGGGCGACATAGTTTAGTGTGTGGTGTCCCTGCTCATGGCAGGGGGGTTGGAACTAGATGATCTTAAGGTCCTTTCCAACCCTAATTATTCTATGATTCTATGACTTTCAAGGAAAAATAGCACATTGATGTTTGCACTTCCGAGTTATTTCCCATATATTTAAAATCAAAATACTACAGAACAGTATTTTCAGAGCAATGAATCTGCAACATCTGTAGCAAGTCAGAAGGAAGTACTTACGGTTGAGCCCCAATTTCTCGAAGGTGATAAAAGAGCTGGGGCAGATGAGTTTGTAGAAGAGTTTCAAACAGCAAACACAACGATACAATGCCCTAATGAAACAAGATCATATCCTGAATACTAACACTCATCCTCTCAAATCTGAGAAAGCAGTATCAGCATGTAAGTAGGCATGAATTGTTAACTGAAGCAATAAAACACTATTAATGATATACAGCTTAGATAAACAGGGCACAAGCAGCTCTAATGCCTTCAGTCACTAAAGGCTTGCTTCTACAATTCTGTGTATGTATTAGTAACAATGTGTTGTGATAGTCCCTTTCAGCTCTAAGTTACTTATGGTATTTGCATGTCAAGGTCTAAGTACTTCGTGGGTTATTATAATATGACCTACTTGAAAAATTTCCACTTCCATGAAATAAACCTCAGTTGCACTAAAAAAACAGAGTGTGGGAGAAATAGTACCTCTCTGACAACTGAAAACAAAGTCAGCAATAGGGATAACTACAAAAAAGTTAAATGTAAACACATTTTAAAATTTCTGTCAAAAGTTATCACGAAAATGAACACATTCCTGTTCGACCCTTTCCCTGCAATGACTGGGAATGCACAGCCTTGAAATGGCATATCAAGCGAAGGATTTTCTTTTAACCAGGAAATGTTTTCAAAGCATAATATAACTATTCAGCAATTTGTGAAGGAAAAAAAATTACTATATTTTATTCTTCAAAAATAGAACATAAACTCATTTCTACATTTGTCTTATATTCGAGAGAGCCGGTCTTGGTCATAAACATAACCAAATTGTTTAAATTCATCTAGTAGTGCTAAAAAGCACTTGCTGTCACATTCAGATACTTGAGATAAAGAAACAGACATTAACTTATTATCACTGAAGCAGTATCTGTATATATATGACTATATTTTAATCCCTCTACCCTAGAAAATACTTAAGTGTGTCCTTACATGTCATTGATTAAAACGAAAGTGAGTATGAACTCATATGACTTCCGGAACCTGAGAAACCCATTACATGAAGACTTGACTCTCAAAAATCCCCACACGCCCTCAGAAAATAAGTACTATACTATTTAAAATTACATAATATTCTACAGCGAAGAGTAACATTCACGTAGAAAACCAAAATATCAAACCTGGATTTACCTAATAATTTTTGCAAGCTTGCCTGAAATATTTTATTATATTTAAAAGGATATATTTCAATTGTATAGAAAAATCATGTCACTGTACATTACTTTTCCATAGCAAACAGAATATCAAGTGAGTGGGTTTTAATTCCTAATGAACTTACAGAGGGATGAGAAGAGATGGAATGGAGTCTGAAGAAAAAACGCACATACATCTCACGGAATATCTGATACAATTTGGAAGGTTCATGGTACAGAAAACAAAGTGGAGCAACTGAAAGGATAAAAGAATTATAATTGACTCAACACTGTAAACTGCTAAAAGAGTTCAATGATTAAGTGCATGAAGTATGAGGAAAACCCAAGTAATTCATAGTAGTACAATTTACAAACACAATACTAAACCATTTATTTAGAAAGTATTTTATATCTATTATTTGATGTAAACAGTTAAGAAAAGAAGTACAATACATTCTAGGTAATAGTTCTATATATTTCAGGAATCTAAACTAATTAGAACCTGCTTACTACAGTGCTTGCTTTCAAGCATAAGAAATACACTTTAAAGAAATTTCTCTAGGTTGTAGGGCACTGGTGTGTTGAACAGTGCAAGTTTTTAATTCAACCATCTGTAATTTCCAATGTGCCCTTGGGCTAGTGACCGTTTCCAAACTGGTTCCCCATTTGTAAGACTGGAATAAGTTTACCGCTTGCAAATGGATGTTGTGAAAAAGAAAATACATAACTTTTTGTTGCTACAATAACCACATAAATATGACAGACTGGTACAGAGACCCATTTATTTCTTGTAAGATCTGAAAATGAAAAAACATTTAAAAATGTAAATTAGGTAGTTTACAGGTTAGAAGTCTTTTAGTTTACCTGATTCAAGATAAGAATGGGCTACGCTTGTAAAGCTGCAATTCTCAAACAGCAGTTCTCAAACTTTTTTTCAATCATCCTTTTCTTGTTTTTGTAAAAGTCTCTCATAGAGATAAATCTGTTGTATGCATTTGCTGCACAAACATAATCAGTTCCCTCTGATTGCTACTCCATTCATTCAATGCATGTTTCACAGACAGTTCTTCTATATACATTTCTGTAAACACCCTTTTTACCTGTCCACTCATCACACCTCCTGCTTCGTTTTAGAGGTGCATTCACTATGGATGACAGCTTACATTTTAATAAGCTCACAGTCTCTCTCTCTACATTCACCTTTCCTTCCAGTTTTATTTACACAAAGCTAGGGATGTGGATACATTTGTCTGCATACATACGTATACATATGCACATAGATATATGTACCTTTATATATATATACACACACACACACAGAGGTGTATGCATGTGTGAATTCATTTTCATTATATATCTCAGAGAAGGTGGCTTGATAGAAAATAGTGGTGTGTATAAGAGATGAGGTGCTAAGGTAAGGTGAGATGTTCACAGAAATGTGTATTTATGTAAGGTAAGAAAAGCAGAGGGTGTTACTAGATTGAAGATGGAGGTGGAAGACTTGGCAGCATGCATATGTACATAAATGCCAGGAGGATAACAGAACAGTGCCTTGCTTACAGTTGACACCCTACGAGTGTATGCATGCAAACATGCAAAGGTGTACAAGATTTACATAGGGACCCAGATACTTCCTCTTAGCATGGAGTACACAGGATGCTCTGCTTGGCTCCAGCTACCATACCCACAGCCTGGAGTGATACTACTGTATTTCTGCTGCCTTGTTTTCCAGCCTCCCTCCTCCTCACAACCAGCATTTTCTGAGCCATTGCAAAAAGAGAGGACAGGAGGGAGGGAAACAGCTCCCACCCAGTTTGAGAGACACTGTTCTCAAGGGCAAAGCCAAATCCAAACATTTTGAAAAGTGGTTTCACACAGAAATAGCAGAAGCCTCCTAAGGGTACCTAAGGAAGAGTTTGTAACTAAGCTGTTCATTACCTCAAAGACTTTAAGAATCCCTACTTGGGTTCAAATCTGTATTTCATATTTAATTGCCTGGTTTTAATGATCATGTGATCATTAAATGTTATTATTAGCAAAACATAGCATTTTAAGTATAATCTTAAAATCTGCTTGCCCTGTGTTCCCACAAACACCTTTGATAAATGTAAGGAAAAAGCTGAAAAGCTGTAACAAATAGTCTGAATTTGTTGGACTACCTCTGCCTTGTTACCTCTGGGGCCTGATGAGATTTTTCTGCTCTTTTCCTAGAAATCTTGTTGCTATTTGAGTTATCATGCAGTAAGTACCAACCATTCCATTATTTAATCCTCCTTCAACACATGTTGTAGGCAACTGGAAACAGCAACAGGCCTTTCACACAGTTCACATTTTTAAGGACTCTTCTCACAGGTAACTTGCTCTACTCAGAATTGAGACACAAGAAAATAGCACTCTCTCAACAAACTTTATCCCTCTATTCATATACATTAAGACAGATGTATAACTCAGCTATTATCTCTCAAAGAAGGAACTCCCACAAGGTAGTGAGCTGTAATGTAAGTAAATAGAAACAGCTTGGAATTTTTAAGATTATATACAACAGTCTTCATATACAAAGAAACAGAACACAGGCAAGTTTAAAAGTTGCAGAAAAATCCATGTTTAAACTGCAACATGATACAAAGGTTTTAAGAGTTTATGGAAGTCAGACTTACCATACATAGAAAAGCCATGAAAAGGAATTACACCTACAAAACAAAAATAATTCTTTTTTGTTGTTTCATATTTCTTTTACCCATGTAAAAAATAAAAAATGCATTTTCCCCCCTAAGTTTCTAGATTGTATCCTGCCTACCACAGGAATAAAATATTTCCTTGTTATGGTACCTGCAGCCTTAGATCTAAATCTTGTAAATATTTAAGTACAGGAATTGTATCACTTACTTCAGTACAACCAACTACATGCTTAAACACATGCTATAGTTCCTAGAAAGCCAAGTAAACCTCTGTTTCCATGAAGTTACTACATATAAGCTTTGCTGAAATCAGGACCTAACTTCAGATAAATGACAAACCGTAAATGTTGTGTACTGACAAGGAGGGAGCAGGAAAAAAGGAGGCCAAGACCTCTAGTGATTCAGGTAGTACAAGAGGACTTGGCACTTGTATTATGACAGTTCTCTTTTCCAGCTGATCTTGGCTCCCATTCATTAATTTTCATACAGGACCAGTAAAAGGGAGCTGCTTTGGCAAAAGGTCGTAAGGACAATGCTTCATAGCTACAAAGCTGCAGAGAATTGCAAAGGCAAAAATTAAAGAAGGCAGAACAAAAGTATGTGTTACAACTGGCACGACTAAAACAAAGAAGACATAAAAGATAAGGCCAGAACACAGATGTAAGACTGGTGACATATTGTCTTGAAAGCGAGAGCAAGGAGCTTGAATTTAAAACGCAAATGCAGTCCAAAAACAGGAAAAGATTCAATAGGCAGGGACTGAAATGGTCAAAATAAGAGCTGAAAAAAGAATTTTAATAATTGAAGTAACTACAAAACCAATAACATTAAGATTAGATAGATCAGTTATGTCTGAATTTTTTAAATTAATACAAATGTTGAAAGGAAAATACTTTAATGTCTGAGTACTGAAAAGCTGGAGGTCAGACAGTTTCAGCATGTATCATTCAGATCCTCCAAGTAGTGATATGAGACTGGAATACAAGCTGCTGTACCAGAAGTTGTTTTCCTTCTCCTTCCCACACACATAGACAAACTCTGTATGTGACTACTAACACCAGCCTGAATGTGTTTTTGGAGTAGCTTCACTCCATCTTACTCCTTTAAATTAATGAATTTCAAAGAATAACAGAAAAACATATTTTGCAATAGAAAAAGAAGTTAGTATGTAGTTGAGGAACAAAGCCACAAACCTGTATCTTTTCGATCTACCGCTAGGGGAGGCAATAGTATAATTCTTACCATTTGGAGGATAGAAAACAGCATATTCTTCCATTCCGAGTTTTCCTGTGAATCATCAAACCACAATAAAAATGTGATTAAACTGTTAAGAGGTATAAAGATTTAAATTAAAAAGATATATTATTAGTAATAATTACAAAAATCATAATTAATTACATTATTGACCATTTTATATTCTTTAGAACAAGCAAGAAATGCAATAGGACAGGTATGCTGTTAGATATGAACCTAAAATGCAGCACCAGTAAGAGAGGATGACAAACAGAAAAACAGAGGAGGAAGATTTCAGCAATGCTATCCCATAGTGATTTTATGTGGGTGTCTTAGGAGCTCTAAAGGTGACTGCAGACCTCAAAGGCAGTGAAGCTCTATGAGGGTAAAAGGTTAAGGGGTAAGTCTGACATGTTGTGGCAGACTGACCGACGTATGGAAAAGGCATTTAAAAAGATTTAAGAACAGATAAAAAATATTCAAGGCTTCACTAAGCCTGCAGCAGAGAGGATGGTGTATGGTATAATTGTGATGCAACAAAAAAATATTAAAGTAATGTTAAATACAAAAGATTAAGTCTAGACAATCACTGATAGCATAGACTGACCATGTAACTTTTTATCTTCCCTTCTACATGAACATATTATATTAGTTAACTATATTTTAACTATAGAACCTAATAATTTAAAATCCACTATCAAAAAATAAATAATTTATTTAGAAATATAAAAGTGGTTTTAAGCGTAATTACAACTAAATTAAAACTAATTATTATAGTTTCAAAATTAGAAAGTTCAACTAGAAAATGTAATTATTTATATGAAAATTTATAGAATATTCAGAGATTTTTTAGAGCTCTGTGTAATTTGTTCATGCAGAAGAATTTAGTACAGGGAACTTTTGTCAGGTTCAATGAAATCTGGATTTAAGATATTTTTCTGTAGCATGAATTAACTGAATTAAATTCAAATTTACCCTGGGAAGCTCTTGCCTACTACACCATGAAAATAAAATCCAGTATTTTCCAATTATAGAAATCAGTTGTTTCATTAAACTAAAAAAATAATTTTTACTTTTCCTTTCAAAAGTTTGCTTGCTGTACAGCCAGGAGTTGTAATCTGGAAGGAGAGTATTTTTAGCATAAAGCACATCTCCTGGAAAACGAGCCAAAAATAGGACCTAGAAGCCTTTTGGATTTACACTACACAGGTTCACCAGAGATTTAGATTTCAGCAATTTCATTCTGCAGATTTGTCTAGGACTAAGTAGGATGCTCCCCATAACTGCACTTCTGGGCTGCTATGGCTGCCTGGGCAGAACCCAGGGAGACCTGGGATCCCACTGCTGTTCTGCTCTCAGGTGAGCCCTTTGCTTGTTTAAGAAATAGGTAAAGAGAAGCTCCTTAATTCAGTTAAAGAGAGAGAAAAGACCTAAAAAGCAATACAGAAGGAAGAAAAAAAAAAAAAAAAAAGGAAAACAAACATTGCCTCTAGTGACATAAGAAGCAGCAAAAGGAAAACTGCCAGCACATGTCCTGCTCAAAATAAAGTACTTAGTACAGGGATCCCATTTGGCTAAAGAAACTGGCAGAATACAGAAGGTAAAGGTACAGGGGAAATAAAAAAAGTTATTGGGCGACTGAATGATTCAAAAAGGAAGACAAAATTAGGAACCTCTGGGTAAAGCCAAGGCAGGTGAGGATCTATGAAGCAAGGAAAGAGTCCAGAGGTGGAGCATGAGGAGTTGGCGGAGAAGACAAGTAAACTAAAACAATAAATTTAAGATTGTTAAGAAAATTAAGACTTATATGAGAACTTAAGCCAAAGAACATCCAAAAGTAAGCTAACACTCTGGAAGATGCCATGCTTAAAAAAAACTCAGCTTAAGTCTGCTTGGTAAAGCTCTACTCTCCCACACCTTTCAACAGAGCCCACAATTCTTCAGCAACATGTTCTGCTCCTGTCTACAGGTATCTGCAAAGCATACTGCTTTGGGAAGATAGCATCTTACCATCACTTCCAGTTCTAAATTTATTGAAGTTACAGAAGACGACATTGCGTATTTAAATTTCTAGCTCTGATGAAGGTGGATGTTGTCAAGAGTTTACCATATTGTCAGAGTTGTGTGTTTATTTTGGTAAAACACTGGAGAATTATACACATAAAACTACAATAAAAGAACATCACAATCTGGCCTTCATGTCATCATCTTCTAAACTGTCATAATAGAATCAGTGCAGAAGTCAACTGGATACATGAAGTATTTATTAATGTTCTTTCAAATGTAGTCTACTAGATATAATGAACATAAAGCAAATTCACATACTGAATTACTGCAGCAGTCAACAAATATCTATACAATCTCTTTTAAAACAACTCAACTCCTTTTACCTCGTATGTATGATTTGGGTGGGGTGGCACTACTGTAAGTAAAGTGCTCCAATACAGACGTATCTCGGGAAAAACAAAGTAATACCTGCAGAAAAGACAGCATATAAAAATCAGCTGACTTATTGGATCAACAAAGCAATGTCAAATACATTTAAGTACCTGCCTGAATTAGCACCTGTTAGATGCTATTGAAGAGAGCTAATAAGGTTGGAAATTCTTGACCAAGTTAATTTACTTTCCTGTTCAAATTTCCAGGCTTACTTTGAACTTGCCACGATTTTAGCTTCACATCCATTTGTTGTCAGTAAAATACCCTCATTCCCTAACCCTTTTTTTTGCCTCTCAGCAAGGGTTTATCCCCTTCTGTCACATTGTTAGTGACTGTGCATGCACCTGGCTGGTTTGATGTCTATTAGCTTTTTTTTCTATTCAGTTACTATGACCTGAGGAAGTCCTAGTAAGTGAATAAGCAAATGAAACATTTACATTTTTGCATGTGTGTGGTTCTGGAAGACTGACCCTTACATTTGCTTTTGTTCTCAGGTGCTTTACAGAATGCTTGCATGATATCAGTGTTCTTTCAAAAAGCACAGAGTATAATTTTCACCTCATATCCATAAATTCTGAAATGTACATTGTGTTTTGTAAAATATATTTGCATTTTTTATTGTTTACATAAATGAAAAGCACGGTATTCACAGCAATGGTGTATAAAATTAAATAGTGAAACCATTCATGGGAAAAATAAAGAATCTTGTCCTATATGCAGTTGTAAAAATGTAATAATTAGTACTGTACTTTAAAATGTTCATGCTTGCATGCAATGAAAGACTGCACCATCAAGAATATACACAAGAGGGCAGAAGTACAACAGACTTCAACTTGCTTTTTTGCCTACCTTAAACCTTCTCTACTCTTGCAGGTTTTAACTGTTTGTTTGTTTGTTTTAACTGCAGCCAAGGTGTAAAAGGTAGAAATGTTTTAGATGGTGTTTCACTATATAATTTGTTGTGAAGAAAAATGAGTGGCTTTTTCCTTCAACTAATTATTGCAAACATTTACCAAGTAACAGCATTTGTCAAAAAGGAAACATGCGAAACCAAAACACTGACACCTGAACATCCTTGTTTTTTTCAATTTTTTATGGAGGCAGGTCATATTTTGAGACTTTTGCTTCTTTTGAATCTCAAAACTATTTCTCAGATACAAACATCTTTTAAAAAATAAATAGGTTCTTTATCTCAAACAGTTTAAGCTAAATATTATTTTTGCGCAATATACAATCATTTTCGTAGCTGCCAAAATACAGCTGACAATAACAATACACAGGCAAATGTAATTCTCTGTATATGTTAACTGAGGTGAAAGAAAAGGAACTAATCTAAAAGGGGCATTAAATTATCTTCTCTCACAGGGGAAAGAATGTAACCTTCATTTGAGGCCCCCTTTTTTAGGAATACAGTGTCCAGTACCAGTATCTGGAAGTCTTTAAGACTCTGCATCTTTATATGAGATAGACTCTAGCTTGAACCTAAGTTATGACTATACCTAAAAACTGCTGGGTGAGGTTCTTTGCATGTATTTATTATGCAGGATGTAAGACTAAAGTATTCAAATTGAACCTCTGGCATGAAATAATGAATTTAAACATGTATTAATCCACATATTATGTTTCTAATTCACAAAATGATAATGCTAAAGAAAGCAATGACACAAACCCCTTTTTAAGTATAGAAATGTTTGACAAACTATTGGACGTTTATAATCAAAACTGAAAAGAACCATGGATCTCAAAGGACTGAGAAAAAGAAAAACACCAAAGCCAAAGCTTTTATCAAAAATAAATTACTATATTCAAAGTAACTGTATTCTATCTCAATAGTTACAAAGAAGTAATAAAAACATGTAAACTTTGGGATAAAGAAAGCAAAGCTATTAAAGGAAATAAATGACATCGTTTCACAGTGTTCTTCCCAAAAAGAATTGCATGCTACTAAAGAGGTACCAATAATCCAACCAAATATCCTCATTGTTATTTTACGCCCAAGTTTTCTCATTTTGATGGATGCTTTATCTGGTAAGTAATAGACAGACAAATGACACGTTCTTCTCAGTGACTTGGAAAATTTAGAGGCAGTAAGTAGTCATGAGAAAAAAAATCACAATCAAAACACAAACCCAGTGGAAGCATAGAAATAATT